TATGAACATAGTTGTGCAAATGTCCTTATGATCATCTTTTGGGTATATGCCATAAAGTGGTTTTGCTGTGTCTTGACAGTAGATTGATTCCTAATTTTCTGAGAAACCACCATACTGATTTCAAGAGTGACTGTACAAGTTTGCACTCCCACCAGCAATGCAGGAGTGTTCCCCTTACTCCACATCCTCTCTAGCATAATTTGTCATCAGTGTTTTGATCTTGGCTATTCTTAGAGGTGTAAGATGGTATCTCAGATTTGTTTTGATTTGCAGTTCTTTGATGGCTAAGGAAGTTGAACATTTCTTTAAATGTCTTTTAGCCAGTCTCAACAGAGATTCCTCTGTTGAGAGTTCTCTGTTTAGGTCTGTACCCATTTTTTTTATTGGATTATTCTTTTGATGTCTAGTTTCCTGAGTTCTTTGTGTATTTTGGAAATCAGTCCTCTGTCAGATGTGAAGTTGGTGAAGATATTTTCCTAATCTGTGCGCTGCTGTTTTGTCTTGTTGACCGTGTCTTTTGTTTCATAGAAGCTCTCTGTTTTAGGAAGTCCCATTTATTATTACTCTCAGTGTTTGTGCTACTGAAGTTATATTTAGGGAATGGTCTCCTGCAACATTGCATTCAATGCTACTTTTCACTTTCTATGAAGTTCAATGTGGTTGGTTTTATGTTGAGGTCTTGGATCCATTTGGACTTGAGTTTTGTGCACAGAAATAGATAAGGATCTATTTGCATTCTTCTACATGTCGACATCCAGTTATGCCAGCACCATCTGTTGAAGATGCTTTCTTTTCTTCCATTGTATAACTTTAGCTTCTTTGTCAAAAATCAGGTGTTCGTAGTGTGTGGGTTGATATCTGGGTCTTTGATTTGTTTCCATTGGTTCTCCTTGCCAATACCAAGCTGCTTTCATTATTATGGCTTTATACTAGAGTTTGAAGTCAGGGATGGCAATACCTCTAGAAGTTCCTTTGTTGTACAGGATTGTATTGGTTATCCTGAGCTTTTTTGTTGTTGTTTATCCATATGAAGTTGAGTATTGTTCTTTTGAAGTCTGTGAAAAATTTTGATGGGTATTGCACTGACTCTGTAGATTGCTTTTGATAAGAGTGCCATTTTCTATGTTAATCCTACCTATTCAAAAGCATAGTTAGAGTTACCCCAAGATGATTTTTGTTATTTGTGGCTATTATAAAGGGTGATGCTTCTCTGATTTCTTTCTCAGTCCGTTTATCACCTGTTTATAGAGGGCTACTGATATTTTTGAGTTAACGTTCTATTCTGCTATATTATGAAGGTTTTTGTCAGTTATATGAGTTCCCTGGTAGAATTTTTGGGGCCACTTGTATCTACTATCATATCATCAGCAAATAGTGAAAGTCTGACTATTTCTTTTCCGATTTATATCCCCTTGATCTCCTTTTGTTGTCTTACTGCTCTAGCTAGGACCTCAAGTACTATATTGAATAGATATGGAGAGAGTGGACAACCTTGTGTTGTTCCTGATTTCAGTGGAATCGCTTTAAGTTTCTCTCCATTTAGTTTGATGTTGGCTGTCGGCTTGATGTATATTGTCTTTATTATGATTAAGTATGTTCCTTGTATCGCTGATCTCTCCAAGATCTTTATCATTTAGGGGTGTTAGTGCCTTAGTGCAGTAGGCAGTGCGTCAGTCTCATTTAGGGGTGTTGAATTTTGTCGAAGGTTTTTTAGCATCTAGTGGGATGATCATGTATTTTTCTTTCAGTTTGATAAGATGGTGGATTACATAGAAGGATTTTTGTATGTTGAACCATTCCTGCATCTTTGGGATGAAGCCTACTTAGTCATGGTGGATGCTTTTTCTGATGTGTTCTTGGATTCCGTTTGCCAGTATTTTATTATTTTTGCAGCAGTGCTCATGAAAGAAATTGGTCTGTGATTCTTAGTTGTGTCTTTGCTTGCTTTGGGTATCAGGGTAACTGTGGCCTCATAAAAAGATGCTGGCAATGTTCCTTCTGTTTCTATTGTGTGAAACAATTTGAGGAGTATTGGTATTAGCTCTTTTTAGAAATTCTGTGCTGTAACCATATGCTGAGCATTTTTTTCCCTCTTGGTTGGGAGATTTTTGATGACTGTTTCTATTTCCTTATCAATTATAGGTTTATTTAATTTGCTTGCCTGGTCTTAATTTAATTTTGGTATTTGGCACTTATCTAGAAAATTGTCCATTTCCTTTAGGTTTTCCATATGTTATGTTCTCCTTTTCATTTCTGATTTTGTTAATTTGGATATTCTCTCTCTGCCTTTTGGTTAGTTTGGATAAAGGTTTATCTATTTTGTTGATTTTTTTTTTGTTTTGAAGAACCAGGTCTTTGTCTCATTGATTTTTTTGTATTATTTTCTTTTATTTTATTGATTTCAGCTCTCAATTTTATTTCCTGTAGTCTAGTCCTCCTGGGTGAATTTGCTTAGTTTTGTTCTAGAGCTTTCAGGTGTTCTGTTAATTTGCTAGTATGGGATTTTTCCAGATTTTTTTATGTAGGCATTTAGTGCTATAAACTTTCCTCTTAGCACTACTTCCATTGTGTCCCATAAGTTTGAGTATGATGTGTGGTCATTTTCATTGAATTTTAGGAAATCTTTAATTTCTTCCTTCCTCCTTTCCTTGACCCAGTGGTGATTCAGCTGAGCATTGTTCAGTTTTCAGGAGTTTATGGTCTTTCTGCAATTAGTGTTGCTATTGAATTCTAACTTTAAGCCATGATGATCTGATAAGACACAGGAGGTTATTCCTTTTATTTTGTTTTTGTATCTGTTGAGATTTGCTTTGTTACTATTTTTGTGGTTGATTCTAGAGTAGAATCCTTGAGGTGCAGGGAAGAAGGTATATTCTTTTGTGTTTGGGTGAAATGGTTTATAGATGTCTGTTAAACCCATTTGAGTCATAACATCTGTTATTTCCCTTTTTCTCTATTATGTTTCTGTCTGGCAGACCTGTCCAGTGGTGAGAGTGGGGCGTTGAAGTCTCCCACTTTTGGCGTGTGGGGCTTGGTGTGTGATTTAAGCTTTAGTAATGTTTATTTTACAATGAGGGTTCCTTATAAACATAGATGTTTAGTATTGAGACTTCATCTTGATGGATTTTTCCTGTGATGAATATGAAATGTCCTTTTTCATCTTTTTTGATTAATTTTAGATTGAAGTCTATTTTGTTAGATATGAGGATAGCTACACCAGCTTCTTAGGTCCATTTGATTGGAAAATCTTTTCTCAACCCTTTACTCTGAGGTAATATCTGTCTTTGTAGTTGAGGTATGTTTCTTGTATGCAACAGAACAATGGATTCTATTTTTGTATCCAATCAATCTGTTAGCCTGTGTCTTTTTATAGGTGAATTGAGTCTATTGAAATTAAGGGAATTAATGACCAGAAATTGCTAGTTCCTATTAATTTTGCTTTTGTTGTTGTTGTTGGTTTTGTGTGTGAATTTTTCTTTGGAGTTTGCTGGTGAGGGATTACCTACTTCCTGTCTTTTTGTGGTTGTAGCTAACTCTCTTTGGCTGGAGTTTTCCTACTAGTACTTTCTGTAGGGCTGGATTTGTGGATAGGTATTGATTAAATCTGTTTTTTTCCCCCCCGGAATATTTTTTTGTCTTCATCTGTTGATTAAAAGCTTTGCTGGATAAAGTAACCGGTGCTGGCATCCATGGTCTCTTAATGTCTGCATAACGCCTGACCAGGACCTTCTGGTTTTCATTGTTTCCATTGAGAAGTTAGATGTAACTCTGATAGGTCTGCCTTTATATGTTACTTGGTCTTTTTCCTTTGCAGCTCTTAATATTCCTTCTTTATTCTGTATGTGTAGTGTTTTGATTATTATGTGACAAGGGGACTCTTTTTTGGCCCAGTCTATTTGGTGTTCTGTAAGCTTCTTGTATTTTCATAGGAATGCCCTACCCATGTGATCTTCTACCTGATCCCTTTTCTGTAGGTGCATGCGCAGCTATGTATCAACTCATCCAGTTTCCCATCACCTTTGGGGCCTCCCATGGATCCCATCTGATCCTGCACTTCTACACCCATGCTGTTTGGGTTTTTCTTTTTAACCTCACGCACACACAGTAGCTATTATTTTTTATGGTACTCATGGCTGACAGGCCATCTGCTGCCTCTAGGGGTGGGCTTGTGCCCTCTGGGTCCTTGTCATCTCTTAGACCCTGTATCTGAGAGGTGTTGAATGTGTGAAGCGGGATTGAATCTCAGCCCTAACTTGCTGGGTGTGAAGAGTGGCCAGGGTGCTAGGCTCACACCTGCTGCTACACCGTGCACCATCCACAGTAGAGGGCAGGTTGTATCTAGACAGCTGCGTCAGGAATTCCTGGCTAAAATACAGGGCTTGGGCCTGAGGCACACCTGGCTTTGTCTGCCTGGCAGACAGGAGGGAGCTCTTCCTGCCGGGATGGTTGCTGCATACCCCAGCATCCCAGAGTAGGTCACTGTACCCATGGTTGAGGACAGGTTCCTGGGCAGATGGCATATGCTGGACAGCTGATTCTCAAGAAGAAACTGCAGAGTAACTCTCTGGGCCTGAGCTGGTGTCTACCAGGGCCTTCTTGCCAGAAACTCCAAGATCAGAGGTGGGGATGGATACCAGAGCCCTTGGATCTAGGCCAGGGGCCACCCCAAGCCGCATTCCCTGGGAAGTTTCCACCTCTGTCCTGGCCCTCTGAGTGCATCACTAAGAGAAGGGAGGAGAGCGGCCTTGGTTCTAAGCGGCAGCAGTGTAGAAGCAAGGCCACTTGTATGGTGGAAGGTTGTGTGGCTGGTGCCCTAGCAGGTCAGACGTAGGTAGTCTCCATGCTGGGCAGCTTTACAGGTTGGAACCTGGCACTCTAGGACCTGGGCAAGAGAACCCAAATCTTCCGACTCTCAGGCTGGGTACTGGTGTGTCACATGGGTGGGCATGGGCATTGAGGATAAGGGAGTAGAGAGAAGCCAGAGCCACGGGGGAAGAACACGACATTTATTGAACTCTGATGGGGGGAGATGAACTTTCTGGCAAGTCCTTGTTCTTAGTCATCTTGGAAGACATATGGGGGCCATGAGTGCCCCCTCCCCGAGATATCCCAGTAAAGCAAAGGTCCCACCTGCCCTCTGGCACTCTGCTTTGCTCTGTAGACATCCCCAAGTCCCTCCTCTTCCAAATGCTCCCTGCGTACAACCTAGGGTAGGAATGAATCCGTAGACCAGCTGAGAGAGGAGGGTCTCTAAGAACAAGGGGCAGCAGGACATAGGAAGTGCTGTTAGAGCATCAAACCAACTTTTAAACGGACAGTCACATGAATACTGAGGAATAAATCTCTGAAACATCACATTTGGGAATACGTTGAGCATTAAAGTAAAGAGTTGCATGCCGATGCGTGGAGGCTACACTAACACGGGGCGCACAGGGCCTGAGTGGGCAGACACGCACCACCGTCTGTTTGTAAAGAAACGCTCTATTCATATCTGCAAGGAAGGACAGGCGGTCTGTACAGTGTGCCGGCTGGTGAGGCTGCAGGCTGGAGCCATCCGATGTGTGGAATGGAGGGTCTTGGGTACGTTAGAGTGCACCCATCCCGGTGACCTCAGACGTCAGCCTGGAATAGACAAAGGCACAAGGGACACACCATAGACTTATGAGATGGGACAGTGGGGGAGGGCACCGCTCCATTTCCAGGTCACCATTTAGGGGCCATGGGCGCCACACCTGTGGAGCTTTACCTGTCCCTGTGCTTGTCATTCAGTCCTGCTGGGAGAGTTGGGGTCCTGCCAGGCTGGAGCACTGGGCCAGGGGCTAAGCACCAGCCTGCCTCTAGGGGTGGGGGTGGGCTCCAGACTTTTAAGCAGGGGCTTCACGGCTGTCATAAGAGCTGTGCGTGGGTAGGACCCTGAGCAGTTTGAGGATGGTAGTTTATAGTGGATCTGGGGCAGGTGAGGCAGGAGCTCGGCATTTTCCTGAGTCCTACTCCAGACTTACTACAAGTCTGTCAGCACCTCTTGCCTGAGGCAGACAGGCACAGCCTTCTAGCTCCCTGTTGGAGAACAGAGTGGCCCATGAGCCTGGAGTCTGACTCTATCATACGCCTCCCCACATGCCTGGACTTTACAGGATCAGCAAGGGTGTGGGGCTGCAGGCCACAGTTAGCGAGGACCTGTGGAGGGCCCCGGAGCCTACGAATCACTCACCTAGCGTTGATGAGATACTGGGCAAGGCTGATGTTGGCTGGGGTCCCTGTGATGGTAATCTGACGCTCTGACGACCCTTCAGTGGCATTGGCGATTTTGATCTGCGCTCCAGACATCTGCCGGATTTCATTGATTTTGGTGCCCTGGCGTCCAATTATGCAGCCTATAAGCTAGAAGAAACGATGGAGGAATTTCTTAGAGAACAGCCCAGTATGTCCCTTTTATGGCATCCCTAAGAGCCCTGCGGGGACACCCAAGGGGACAGGCTCCAGCTCTGCCTATGAACTCAGTGCTGTGGAAGAAATAGGCACTGCAAAGCCCCGAGACTGGTCCCTGGGACAACACAAGAGAGGGCCTGGCTCTGCCTGTTGACAGTCTTATCACCTCTGCTCAGTGTCCCTCTGGAAAAAGTCCATATAACACGACAATGGTCACCACCCCACTGGCTCCTCTATTTGGTCAGAAGTAACCTGAAGACAGACGATGCAGACTGCATGGGAAATCCCACACCAGCTCTGGCGTAGGCTGGGCCAGGGCCTTCTGGGGGGTACCCTCACAGGGAGAACGGATCTACAGGAAGAGGGAGCACCACAGACACTAAGGAGCACCTCACGGTCACTGTTGCTGAAACCTGTCTTTGATGCTCTCAGATGAAGCAGAGGACAATTCTGGTATCTGCTTGGTGAAGTGCTTACTGGGTACACACCTGTGGTCAAGGAAGTCATCAGGAGTGAGGGCCATCTCTAAGGCAGCTCAGAGACGAGCGTGCCCTCTCAGTCTACCCTGTCCCACGGTGGAGGCATCCTGGACCCCAGGAAAGACTGCAGAGGAGCTGGATGAGGCCCTCAACTTCTGTCACTGATTAAACAGAATTCCCACATCCAGATGCCCGCACTGTGTGCTCTGGGGTAAGGAAAAGGACACTGGATGGACAGGCCTGAGAGCCGGGGCTGCAGCCAGCCGGTACCTCAGGTCCCAGTGGTTCTGCTGCACCTGGCTGTCTGGCTCCCGGCCTGGGGACTGGACACAGCTGTTTAATGCAGTGAGGTGTCAGGCAGCAGGCTGGGCTGGGCAGAGAGGTACAGGGAGAGTCTGCTCTAGGGCCTGCACAATGGGTACCACTGTTCTGATCACGGTTAAGGCAGTCTGCTGGTTGACGATCTCACTCACTGAGCTGTGAAGGGGGTTTCTTTATGAACAGAGTGAAACCCCTGTTCCAGGGAAACCTGAGCTGTTCAGCATCTTGTCATGTCCTTGTATCTCTTGGCCTCACCTGGTCCTCATTTTCCCAGTCCCACCCACTGCTCCCCTCTCTGGGCTCTGCCCACAGCCTGCCCCTGTTCTTAGTGTCTGTGTCAATTCTTCCAAGGGTGCTTGCTCCTGTGGCAGGGAGGGCTTCTTGACCTGCACACAACCATGGCTCAACTAACCTGCCTACCCATGCTCTCTTCTGTGGCAGAAAAGCTATGGGGCTCTTCTATGACCAAGGTTAGGTCAGGTAAGGTAGCCGCGGGTAGGAGCGTGGCTCCTGTGCTGAGGCCGCATGTCTCTAAAAGCGCCGTTATCCAGGAAGGTGCACCATGGGGATGCGTGACCTTCTTCACCCCCACCCCCAGCTGCTCTGTGATCAGCTCTTCTCTCTGGGGTCACTCAGGTGTGGATGACTCTTGTCAACCTCACAGCACAGACCTTATTACACCGCTGTCTTCATTCCAACCTGCACTGGAGGACGCTGACCATCCTAGCCCCAGATCACCCTTCCCTTTCCTTTCTTTACACCTCTTCTTTACATCTTGGTGTGTTTCATGGGTGGCTCGCCTCCTGGGTTCATACCTCAAAATCCTGAGGTGTTCTGTGGCCTGTGCTCTAAACCTCTCTCCTTCCTTCATGCTGGGAATTCTGGAATGGAACCCACCTGGATCCCAACACAGACGCTGGTGGGCACTGCTCTTATGGGTACGAGAGGTGACTGGTGCTGCTTGTGAGACGCCCTTAGGCTGGCTGAGGAGAGGCCGCCAGCTGGTAGTAGCTCAAGGTCCTCTTCCACTCAGCCTCGCTGGGACCCCACTGACACACAGCCCCAAGCTCATGCTATTCCCACCCATTTTCTTCTCATTGCCTATTTAAATAAAGCTATAGGAACGTGCTAAAACAGGAGAGGTTCCGTAACTGTAATCCCCATCCAACTCCCAGCCACTGTGGCAACACTGACTGGCCCCCTCCTCTCACAGCTGTGTGGGTATCCTAGCTTCCTTTCCCAGTAAAATACTCTAGGCAAGTGAGTCACTCACCAGGGATAGGCCTGACCTTTTTACGGAATGCTGTAGGGCAGTTAGTTGGCTCTGCAGTGGCCTTTAGGAACGAATTCTGGGCCTGGTAATCTAGAGGTCTGGGCTTCAGCCTCTGAAGGCCTGCATGGACCTGAGAGGACAGATACACCACCATCTGGTGTCTTTCTGCAGATGGGGTGAGGACACAAATGGACACTGGCCTGACTCACTGTGACCAGGAGAGACAGACAAATGGTCAGGATAATCATGTTTCTTTCCTCCTGCCCATGACTGTGGTGGCCATCAGGTGTGGACTATTGGCTCTGGGAGACTGCATCTTTGCCGGTAGCCTAGACCTTTCTGGAAAGGTCTGGGTGAGCAGGCACCATCTATGCCATAGATCCTATGGCCTTCCTGGGTGGGGTGAAAGGTAGGCTCTGAGTGCACTGCTTAAGGAGCAGCTCCCTCCCTACAAAGACTTCTGGGATGACCCCTGGGCCTCTGTGACCAGCCAGCCTAGTGTAATTGGTGAACCCTAGGTCCTGGTGAGAGACTGTCTCAAAACAAAGTAGCTTAGGGCAGAGATAGCGTAAATACTGTACAAGTTGGAAAGGGGATAACCCCTGCATGGCTCACACAGAGACTGTCCCTTTTGCTGTGCTGGCAGCTACTCTCAAAGACATGGACTCTCCTTCGCTGGTCTCACTGTTTGGGGGGTGATCCATTTTTTTCGGAGACTGCTCCCACTTCCCCAGGCCCCTGCTCAGCCTGGGAGGACAATGTGTGCTACCAGCAGCCCTGAGACCACAGCGTGTGATGTTCCTGAGGGTAAATTGAGGGAGACAACCTGTGACATTCAACCACCTTCGTGTCCCAGAGAACTCAAACCTCCAGTGCGAGTCATAGCGCTCCAGAACATTCCTGGACCACCCCACTCTCCAGGTCCCTAAGCCAGGCTGCTGCTGCTGTTACCACAGATGCCCAGCCTAGCCCTGGTGCCAACTTCTGAGTCCCCATGCTGTGCCTGGGGCTCTTTTCTTGTCTGCATCTTTCATGGACATTCTATCAGTTTAAGGTGGCGAAGGAAGGAAGGGCTCGAGAGTTGTCCCTGGGACAGTCTTTGTGAGGACAGAAGGGTGCAGGTGGGATACTCACATCATTGGGAATGGTGAGCTCATGAGTGCTGGCCGGGGGGCTGGCATCCAGACCTGGACACACCAAGGGAACAAGGTTAGGCTGAAGGGAAACAGCTGATTGCCATATCCAGACCTGTCCATATTTCCCTGGGCTGGCTGAGGTAAAGGCCAGCACCACCCAGGGATCCAGGCCCAGGTGTAACCCAACCTCCAGAGTTCCAGCTTCTCTCAGAAGAAACTCGCACACCTTGTACACACAGCCTGGCAGGCCCTGAGCTAAAAAGAGGGCAGCCATCACACTTCAGGCCCTCACAGGCAACACGGGTCACATTGACATGTCATGCTTATCCTCCCTGTGTTCAGGGAGACTGTGGGTGCTGTGCCCCGCTCTGCTCTCCCGAGATTCCATGTGGTTCTGCTGCAGGTATTGTTAACTGCTCGACACAGTTCTCGCCAAAGGCCACTGCACATGGTTAATTCCAGGTTTCACCTTTGCGAGTCTCATTAAGTCTCCAGATAACGGGCGACTTCTCACAGTCCATGCGCTAATTCTCTCCTGCCTCAGTCACGTGACAACACACTCCAGGGCTGCCACAGGGGAAGGTGCAATGGCTACACCTTTGGGCCAGCACATCTGTACACAGCCACTCTATTTCAACAACAGACAGCTCAGGCCTGCACATTCCAGAGCTGATCTCTTGCCTCTAGGCTCAGCAAAGGTCCAACATGGGATGGAGGTCCAGACCCCAGACTCTGTCCTTTCCAGATGGCCAGTTCTACCCACACCCCTTCAGAGTGCCCCAGAACCCAGGTCCTCTCTTAACTCTGTGCTCTTACTGTCCTGCCTCTTCCCTGGATCTTCAGTACCATATCCATATGAGCAGGATTTCCCCACAACAACCTCAGCAAGCCCCTCATTCTCCCAGCTCCTGCTCTGGCCTTGCTCCACTCCCTGGGTGGATGACCTCCTCACTGTCTTGTCTCACATGGTTAGTGGCTCCGGCCAGAGCATGACCCCAATGGCAGGAGTCCAGCAGTCAGGCCCAGGTGGAAGTGTTCAACTAACTGATTCATCCCAACTTTGCAGTTTTGTTTACAACTAAAGTCTGGAGTTTCTATCCCCTTTCTTCTAATAAGTTTTTAACACAATTATTTGGCTATTTAGGAGCTTATACACATTCCAGGAGCAGAGACCTGTAAAATGTCATTTGAAAGGGTTCCCTAGGACTCTCAGAAAGCTGAGCAGGAGTTCCTGGGGCAGCAGGATATAACTGTTGGATTTGACACTTGACTGAGTGAAAAGCGAGAATCCTTTTCTAGTGACACCAACGTCAAGAGGGTAGATAAGGGCTTGTCTGTCCACTTAAAGCCAGTACTGGGGACAAGGTTTCCGAGCCAGCTGCATTTCACCACACAGCTAATGGCTGTCTCAGCACACACCCTTCCTGCGGCTGCCATGCGAGTGCACGTTCACTCACATGAACTTGTGTTGCACGTCTCGAGGGCTTTGGTCAAGTTGTCCCATCAAAGCACGGTGGCAGCCAGGAGGCTGCAGCATTGGCTGTGTGTACCCATGGTGGCTCACGAGTATAATGTGTATGGCATTTCCCTCCTAGGACCCAGAGAACACTCAGCTCCAGCCTATCGCCTTTCCCGAGGCTGTTCCTCAGTCCCTATATCAGTCTCCAGACACCCTGCAGTGTCCCGGGAGCAGGCATTTAAATGAAAGCCAGAAGGTGTAGACACAGCCAGCCCAGATCCATCCTCCAAGTCTGTGCCTATCTCCACGGAAACTCATCTTGGAAATGCACATAGCATCCCGTGGCCCCCACAGTCATGCTCTCACTATGCACCCCTACACACTGCACAGCTGGAGAACAAGTGGTAACTCAGAACAGTTTTCTCCTCACGTAGGTTCCTTAGGCCACCTGCACTCTGTGCGTGCTCAGACCCACCGGTCACCAACAATGAACAGTTCCATCACCACCTGGCTCCTGAGTGGTCCCCATGGCTCAGTCCACAGCTCGTGCCCCTGGAAATTGTCTATTGCTAGCCGACTTGGGTGGGTGCTAGACACTCAGATGTCATGGATGTGGGTACCCTTGTCTTCTACATGTCCCCTGGCCTGCTGCCCCAGTTCTGTGGTCTGCTTTACCTGACGACTGGCCCATCAGATTTTGAGCTTCTTCGGAGGAGTGTAAAGGCAGCTTTTCTCCTGGAGAGCAAAGAAGAGAGAGGTTTAATGTTTTGCCCTCAAGGAGAGAAGCAAGGTCCCTTCAACTAGGAAAGCTCAAAATATGATTGGAGCATGCACAGCCGACGTGCGTGGCCAGTGTGTTTTCACTGGCCATAGCCACCAGGCGGCTCTGCTTCTGGGAGAGGGACAGACACCCTGTTGCAGATGCCCGGGCAGGCTGTGGCCAGCATCTCTGATCACTTCACCACAGGCCTGAGTGCAGGCTAGCTTCTGTCCGTGCTATCCTAGGCAGGGCTGCACCGACTAAGGCTGGGGTCGCTCCTGCTTTCAGAATGTAGATCTGGGAAAAAGATGTGCTCCAAGCGTGGCTAGGTAGAAGCCTTTGTAGGAAAAGCCACCTGGGGATGGACTGTGGGTGACACAGAGCCCAGCAACGCACATAAGACCTCAAAGGGCAAGAACGTGGAAGGAAACCGGGGAGTGGTAAAGTTGTCCACAATGGAGGACGGACCGACCCGCCCGGCCTCAGCTGTGTGCAGCCCACTGTGCTAACACTGCAAGATTCAGCATTCAGAGCTTGGCCAGCACCTGTGCTTTGCACTGCACTGAACAGCGCTCAGAAAGAGAAAGCGAGTCCCCAGGTGAGAAGAGAAGGTCAGAAAAGGGCAGCTGGGTACGTACCGGGGAAAGCGGGGTTGGTCTGTCCGAGGGGAGGAAAGGGGGTTTGCTGCATGGCCAACTGGTGGAGCTTGGTCAACTGCTGGGGGTAGGAGGGACACGAGAGCTAAGAAGGTTATTGTCATCGAGTACAAGTCACACCAAGTTAAAAATGGCAGTCACAGAACTTTGCACAGAGAGGTTCAGAGGGGCCATGCGGACACATGGCAGACACTGCAGCAGGACGCAAGGACTTGGCCTGGGGGGAACCAATGGGCCTGGCTGCCAGCAGCCAAGAACCTGAATGAGCTGTGCCTTTCCCTTACCAGGCTAATGAGGAGGGGAGGGGCCAGGGCCCGTGGGGCTCTGAGAGGAAGGTCTGAGGGACACAGAGCAGGGCCAGCTGGGCTCCTAAGAAACTAGCAGATTCTTAAACCTTGCCACAGTTCCAACTTCCTGCTAGCCTTCACTCACCTCCTGGCCAGCAGGCCTCACTTTAACACAAGGCCGTTCACATGTAGAGTTGGGAAGGAGGGCTAGGGAACAGCAAGGAGAGCTCCCCGCCTGCCCTGTAACCACCTTCTCGACTTAGGTGGGGGACAGGGCACAAGTGATAGATGCAGAGGCCCCTGAGGACGAGGCTCTCCATGGGAGCAGCGCTGGATCCTGCTCCCTGCTGTCCCATAGGCCACGTCTCTGCTCCCACCAGCCATGCAGCTTCACAAATAGAGCTTGTTCATTTTCTCTGAGCCTCACTCTCAAATTAACATAAAGAACATCAGAAAACAGACTCTGAGCAGAGGAGCAGGCTAGGATGGACGTCGGCTCTGAATGACACTGACCTTTTGAGAATCTAGGGCACTGGTACAGAGGGTGTGGGCTTCCTGTGGGATGGGGGCCCAGCAGGCAGAATAGCATACCTACAGGGAAGGCTGGCCCTTCTCCCTCCAACGGGTCCCAGCAAGGCTGCATGTCAATTAGTGGGGTTCTGGAGTCTGGCTTGGATTGTGGCTGCCTCCATCAGGGGACAGAGCTGGCAGGGCTGGGAGTGGCTGTGGGACACTGACAGAGGCACTATGGCCAGGGAGTGGGCACCTGGTAACAGGGCTGTTTGTGCCTCTGTTTTGGTGCCTGGTGAATTAGGGTCCTGTGCTGCTGTCACAGGATGAAGTGGCTGGTCTAGATGTCTCAAGGAGCTTTCCTTCCTGCACTAGCTTCCTAGGTGCAAGGTACCCTCAAGTTTAGACTAGTGCCCCGTGAAGACGGGGGATGGCCTCGGCCTGGCCCTTCCTGATGGCCAGTGGAGTTCATGTTGACCTACAGGATGGCTTCTGGGGTGCTTGCTGGCTGGTTGTCCCTTTCCTGATTCTGGAAGCTGGGTGCCTGTGGCTTCTGGGTGACATCTCTGGAACAGAACTTTGGTGCATAAACACAAGGCTTTATGGTATTAGCATCTGTAAAAGCCACTTTGGCCCGGGATACTCATCCTTTTCCGTGTCTGACCTCCCCAGAAACATGGCAGGATGGGCGATCCTAACTGCAGCTCCACTCGCCTTAGACGTGCCTGGCTTCTTGGGCTACACAGGGGAGACCTGGCTGCATCCTGAACTCGGTCTGCATCTGTGTCTGTTCTGACTCTACAGCAGTGGGCACACCAAGCTGCTAGAGTGGCTTGGCAGAAGAACATGTCCATAAGTCCTGTTACCAGGCCATATCTCAAGACTAACACTGTGCCTCCAGGTGGGATGGGAGGCTCCACAGGGAAGGGCCTGAGGGACTCAAGACCCTGTCTACTCCACCTTGAAGCCTTGGTGAAGGAAGCATTTCTGATACACACCACAGAAAGGTACCCTAGAAAGTACAGCCCTGTTTGGATCTGCAAGGGGACCTTAGCAGAGGTGTTAGTGTGGATGCCTGCAGGCCTAGCGGGTTTTAGCAGCTATACTCCAATCATATCCACTGTTTCTAAACTTCTGTGTCCATTGGCTGCGATGTTGCGCCCCTGAGGATAGACCTGTCTTCATCTGCCTGAGTCCCCAGAGACTAAGGAGCAATGGATGGTTCAAGATGGCAGGGGCAGTGGAATGTCGAACAGGGCATGTAGGCAAAGTGCCAAGGGAACGAGCCTGATGGATCTAACATGGAGCAGCTGTGCACAGACTCCAGGCCTTGGCTCTTTCATTTGGTTACGCAGCAGTTTGTGGGCTGCGGCCATGCATCAGCAAGGGCTAGTAGTCACCGTGAGTTTTCAAGGATTTCCAGTTGCCCATATGCACTATGCTTTTGTCGCCTGCTGGTCTCAGGGTGGGCTTCAGAGTCCACTGACTACAGGGTACAGGCAAACCAAACCATAGGACCTATAAAGCTGGCTCTGCTCATATCCAGACTCTGATGTTCAGAGGCTTAGAGTCTCTAACTTCTCCCCCATTGCCATAGATCTTCTTATACATTTATGGCCACACTAGCAAGCAAATGCAGCGACGTCATAGGGACAGGATTAGCCAGTGTGTGAAGGGCCTCGGTGGGCATCTGCTGAGGTAGCACCTGTGGGAGTGGAGTGTAGACAAGATCCTCTTCTTGGTACGGCTCTGTTTTCATCAGGCTACCTTACAACTCAACTTCCACCACTGTGGGAAGGATTCAGTTCTGAGAGCTCTCCCACTTTTGCTTTTCGATAGTTATGTCACGTAAAAAGATCAGTTTGGGGCAGCAAGCCAGTGACTAGCAAAGTTGCCCAAACCCTTAGGGCCCCCCAGAGATCATTAATGAATCCCAGGTGCCAGATACTGAGTTACAAGATCTAGATTTTCACTACTGATTTTGGTTTTGCTTTGATCTGGTTCTTTTTCTAGCCTAGTTCTTCCCTTTGGATTAAGAAGTAATGTACTTTTTTAAAAAAATTTTATTTTATAGGGGACCACAGAGACTTTGTATTTAAAAAAAAAGACTCAACTTTTAAATTGTTGAAAAATTTTAAAGATTATAAGACTTTTAAAAGTTGTAATGTATTCTATTTTTGATACTAACGTGAGATCTTGGGGACAAATGAGAAAGGGAAGGTTATGGCTGAGTGGTGATATTTTTGTGTGTTAAGCTGACAAGGAGTAGCTTGTTGGTTAGCTTTGATTATCAACTTGACACAACCCAAAGTTACCTGTGAGAAGGGAATCTCAACTGAGGAGCTTTCCAGATTGAACTGGTCGGTGGTCATATCTATAAGAGATTGTTTTGATTGAAGGCTGATGTGGGAGGGCCCGGGCATGGGGCAGCACCATCTCTGGGCAGATAGGACTGGGCTATACAGGAAAGGTAGTTGAACATGAGCCAGTAAGCAGCTTTCTAACACGGTTCCTACTTCAGTCCCTTCCCCGATTTTCCTCACTGATGGATTGTGAACAGGAAATGTAAGCTGAATAAACCCTTTCCTCCAAATTATTGAGGAGGGACATACAAGAAGGAGCAAGAAAGGAAAGACAGGCATCAAGCAGACAGAAAAGAGGCAAGATGTCACAGTGTAGGAACTCCTATGGCTCTTCCCACTTTAAGGGCTTAAGTCTGCAGCTCAGTGAATCATGAGGAAATGAAGGCAGTGAGCCAACCACTCAGGCAGAGGCACCTACTAATCTGTACTTCATTGCATTGTGGGGAATAGTTGTGTTTTCTGCCCAATTTTCCAACAGGGTCAGTTGCTGATGACTCGATACTGCATAGACCTCTCCAATGTTCCTTTCAAGAGAAGCTGACATATCAACACTGCCAGCTCTGGCCTGGGTTTGTACTTTCTCTAGGAAACCCTTCCCTCACCAGAGAACAACAGACAGATATTTTCCTATGTATTTTTTTTTTTTCTAAACGCGCCACCCTTTCCTCTTGTGGAGTTCTTGATGCATGAGGTTTTCAGGAAGAACCAGTGTTGGATGACTCACCGTTGGGCACTATTTGTAGGCAGTCCCTTCTCTTGGGAGTGCAGTGAAAGCTGGGCAGGACAGGCCTCTTCACCTAGCACCTCCAGACCCTGTGCTTCCTAGAGATCAACAGACCAGGCTGGCTCCCAGCGTCTCCTTGGACCCAAACGGCACTGTGCCCATTACTGTCACCCTACAGTAAATCTTTGTATTTATAAAGGCAATCCCTTTATCACGTTCCTTAATGAGACCTTCAGGATTTTAGGCCTATGTTCATTCATGCAACTTTGAAATCAATATAATTTCATCAAAAGGTCTTTTGGGGTCTGGATTTTCACTGCACTTGTACGTCATCCTGGGAAGAACTGGTACCTCTGAAATTAGGACCAATTCCATCTCTTCACTTTGTGGGAACTTTTGTTTGGATGGTTCAAAAGACAGGGTTTTGCTTCATTGGTTCGGTTTGGCTTAGCTTGTTGAGACAGGGTTTCTTTGTTTACCCTTGGATGTTCTGGAACTTACTCTGTAAACCAGGCTGGCCTTGAACTCGGGGATCTGCCTGTCTCTGCCTCCAGAGTGCTGGGCAACAAAGGCAGATTTTGTTGTTGTCTGGTCAGTTGGTTGGTTTTGTTTTAGGCACAGTCTCATTCTGTAGCCATGGCTGTCCTGGAACTCACTGTGTAGACCAGGCTGGCCTTGAACTCACACAGACCTGCCTGCCTTCCCCTCCAAAGTCACCCTTCCTCATCGATTTCACACTAGTGTTTTACATTAAGAGTATGGCCTATATGATTCCAAATTCTGAAATCTGCTTCATGGTCGGGTACGTGATCAAGTTTTGCAAATACTTCTAGGGATTCTACAGTTGTGTTGGCATGACATTCAGCCTGGCAATCATATCAGGACAACATACTTGAGAGGGAAATATGTCACTCCTGGGGAGGGGAAGACGTCACCCAAGGGGAGGGAAAGACACTGCAGTTCCTCTGCGGTGTTTCTCAGACTCTCCAGGTTTCTTTTGGTGGACATTTCCTTAGTATGCTCTCTACTCTTCAATTATGGGGCTTCTCATCCTTTGAGCACGTCTCTTGAAAGAACACAAATGAAATTTCTCCAGTTTTATACTTACTATTTACCTTAAAAATTATATAGTCTGACAGCCTTTGTTTTTTTTTTTTAAAAAAAAACTGGAATTTTA